ATATATATATATATATATATATATATATATATATATATATATATATATATACGATATATATATATATATATTCTTGAGATATATATATATATATATATCTCAAGAATAAATTAATATAATGTAATATCCGATAAAAATTTCTAACTATATTTTATGCGTTATATGTGATAATTTATTGACCTATAATGTGTATATCTGATATCGCGCTATAATAGGAATGTTTTTACTATGAACTAATCTGAAATGGTTATTAAATAATCAAATTGGTACTACATTGTAGTACTTTTTAAAAATTACGAAACTGAAGAAACCATGTTTTTCTGACTAATATATATCATGACGATTCAACAAATGCAATACCCCTGATAACGAGATCTTGAAATCATCCTTGATGTGTTCAGAATGTCTTGAAACATTCTTCACATGTTCTGGACACGTACAAAACGATTATGGTATGTTTTATGTTATTTGAGATTTATTAATCAGAAAAACCGGATTGTTCCTTTGCAATCGTAATTTCGTTGTACTATATTCAGTCTTTCAAACGCGAAGGAGTAATCTGAGTGATTTTCAAGACCTGTCACTTTTACGAAAGATATATGATATATCTCATAAACGTATCAGTAGTTAATATACTGTAAAGAAATCTAATTGAAACATATGCAATATATATATATATAATAAAATTGAAAATCAATAAATTGGCTCATATATACAATAGTGCAGTTAATAGTAATACTATATATTGCGACCATTGTAGGATTAAAGTTCTTTATCGAAAAATATGATTGGGCGTGACATAAAACCTGTATATTATTTCGAATTATAGAAGTAATTAACGGCGTGTACAAGTTGGTCATTATATTTGTATAATTAATAAGGGATAGTATTCTGTAATATACATATGTAAATATGTTGTGTGTCTCGATTACGGTGTTAAGGGCAGTAATCTCCGCGTTCAATGTTTTATCGCTTAGATGATGGATATGTATTCTATCTAAGTATACATACCTTTAAAGTTCCGGACCAATCATCGATGCTGTATGTGTTGCACTAGAGAGATGATCCCGCAACTCTTTTGGTATATACGTCGAAATGAAGGAGCTTTTTTATAAACTATTATCCCGTTTGATACGGCAGACTTGCATAATATGCCTCAAGGAATATTCTGTTTTTGTAGATAAATTATATATTACAATTTATATATATATATATATATATATATATATATATATATATATATATATATT